TTATGAATGTTTATCATCAGCGAGAACAACTGAGTACTTTCTCTACATCGAAATATAAACTTTGAATACTTGATTGTACAGTTTTTAATAATACAGGAAATAAACTTTGTCGATGATCGTAAAAATTTAAATCTGTATATAAAATTATAAACATAAAACATATTTCTTACCTATTATTATAGTAATGTAAATTTCCGTGGTTAACGCTGAAGACAAACTTTTTTTGAAATAAAAATAATTCATTATCAAAACATCAAACATAAAAAGAGCGTAAAATTGACAATGTCTTTACACTGAAGAAAAACAAAATTTGAATATTTAAAATTCTGTAATTTTTAATATTATTTTATAAAAACATGACTTTTGAGAAAAAAAATGTTTTCGTGACAGCATTACTAGATTACAAACTGAAAAACTACAAAGCTAATATGTTCTATGCTTTTCATTTTTTCCTTTTTTCGGTGTATTTTTCAATGAGACATGCTTTATTTCTACTCTTTTTCGCAAACTCTTATAGTTACACAATCCAATTTATTTCGTTATCGCACAATGATGTGACAGCTTTTGACTGTCTTTGTATAGTTTTTTTATAAACAGCAAATGTAGCTACCAATCTTTCGAAAGAATATCCACCGAACGTTTATTCAAGTATATGCATAATTCTATAGTTGTACTTCTCCATCAAATAATTCTGTCAGCACAGTATTTCACGGACAAAACAAAAAGTCAATACAACGTTTTGTCAATCACAAGTAACGCTTGAATAAAATATTTCAGAGAATATTCCTATTTTTCATCAATCATCCACCACTATAATCGCTATAAAGTTTATGCTAATCTGATTTGCGATTCTCGACAAATCTACCGTTGAGATGGTCCAATAGCGTGTCCAATGGTTCTCAACGACTCGCGGGACAGAGCGATTATATTCGATGAATTTCGAGGAAATTGTTACATCGCAAATCCGTAATCGTATCTAATCCGATATCCGTAGAACAAAGCAGATAAAGCTAGCAGTCAGTGAAATACGCACGACTGAGCGAATGTGCATCTCCCAAATTCTCTAATCAAGTCAAAGATTCAATTTATCCAACAAAACAACAATTCGAGCAGAAATCACGAATAGAATAAGCTCTAGCATTTCGTTCAAAAAATTCACTCGTTCACAGTTATATGATCCAAAAGTTTTTTTATTTTAATTTCAATGAGTATTTATTATTTCGTAAGATAAATATTAACATCACTATTTATCGTTTACTATAATATTATTATCATTAATAACAATAATTGATAATTTCGTTATTCAAAGTCATTATTTATAAAAATTAATGGATTCTACGTATCTTACGATTATTAAAAATTTATGAAGCCACATTAATCTGTTATTATACTTGCAATCATTTTTCAAAATCACGATATATATCATTAATGTAAAATAAAAAGAGGAAAATACTATTATAAATAAATTTCAGAAATATTATATCTTTAATTTTGCATTTCCATCGCATGCATTTCGGTGCGTTAAATTGTTAGAAAAAGACTAAAACGAAATGACATTACAGCTATGCCATATCGAAAATTGCATTCGTTTAGTCATGTCGCTTCAAAGAGAGTACACTAAAATCCAGGTCATTTCCCGAGACTAGTGAAAAAATGTAGAGAAGATACATGGAACGCAATCATCCCTGGAGTGAAGCTTTGATAACTTTCCGGAGCAGCTAACCATTTACACGGAATTTTATAGTCGACTTCTCGAAATATTTCTTACGGTGAATGTACTTCATGGAGACACAATTAATGAATAAAAATAAATTTTTTTAAATGTTTAATATATTAATACTTTTCTTGCTTGACCTTTTCCTAATTTTCCTAATAAAATTTGATTTTTTGTTAATTTTTATATTTATACACTATGTAATATGATTACACTGATATTTGATTGTCTAAATTACATCTGTAATTCTCGGTATGCATTGAAGTTACAAAATATTAGACGAATTTATTGAACGAGCGAGATTCATATACGAGAGAAAAATTTTCAATATTACTTAACGAGACTCTAGAACAAATAATTCTTTTGCTCCATTATCTTTTTCCTTTTCTTTCCGCTTTTATTTTTTTGTCTCTTGAGACAACTAAAACCAATGGAAAGATCCATTAATGTCCCCAATGCTTTAAAGTAGATGTCGTCTTTGCTTTCCTTTGTCTCGACACAATCACTCGTCTTTAGTCGGTTCGTTAACAAATCACACTTTACAAGCAAAATAACGGGATTTATTGTAGCAAAAACAAATTGAGATAAAACGAGGTAAATTATTGGCAAAATTAATTGGAAACGTGAAATTATGTGATAACACTGCCTAAAAATATTACGACAAGTAAAAAATAAAATATCACGAAAAAAAATAAAAGTTAGCAACAATTTCTTATCCGATATAAACTGTATATAATAATTCCTTACAATATAATTTATATATATATATATATATAACTATACATTTCATATCTACATGTATTTGGCATTGCAGAAATAAGTGTTTCGAAATAAAAACATATCACTAAAAATATATCACTATTGCGAACATATATATATTATCATTACCTCTGTCAAGCTTGCAGAATCAAATGAGCAAAATCGAAAAAATCTATTGAATTATTTAATGATTATTTTGTGCTAATTTGTGCTACAAAATATAATTTTGTACCCCATGCCATTTAAAAAAAACTCGTGGTTTTGCTAACTTGATATGAAAGTTGTAAATCACCTATGTGTGAAACTTCGCTTCGCGTGATGGGAAAGTTGTAAACCTATGTGGAACTTCGCTTCGTGTGGAAAGTTATAACCCCATGTGGAAACCTCACTTTGCATTAAAAAGTGCGTGGAGGCAGTGTATCTCGCCTCTTCCCAAAACTACGAATTTCTCCTATATAATGTGTGATACAAAATTATGTCTTGTAGCACAAATCAACACAAATTATATCTGCTAATTTTTTCTCTCCTTATCTTGTGATTCTGTTAACTTAATTTTAAGCTAAGCGCCACGAGTGTCTTCTAAATGACATATGATACAAAATTATATTTTGTAGCACAAATCAACACAACAAAATGAGCACTAAATAGTTCAGTAAATATTTTTCGATTTTGTTCATTTAGTCCTGCTAGCTGACAGAAATGTTACTATTGTACAATCTAGGAACTTTACTTAATTTTTAATTTAATTTAACCCTTCATGGCCACACTGGGTCAAAATGATCCGAATTTTTGTGAAAAATTTAATTTTAACACTAAAAGAAAAAAATCGTAAACATGTATTATAGAATTTAGCGTGAAAGCAATGTATGTGTAACTTTCACGCTAAATTCTAATACACACGTTTACGATTTTTTTTTAGTTAAAATTAAATTTTTCACAAAAATGCTACTGTTCCATTTTCTTAAAAGATGAAATTATATACCGTATTTTTTTAAATCATTGCAACTAATACTGTCGATTTGGTAACACTTTAAAGACAGGTCGGGTCATTTTAACTCAGAGTAACCATGAATGATTAACAAGAAAATGATAAAAAAGTATGATTTCTCTATGATTTTCTATTTTACGCTCAATCGAATTGATTGCGTTCTTTATTTTCAATAATTGTACCATTAAGCTCGGTTCGCTTAGTGCTTATGAAATTTATGAGCGAAATACGCCAGAAATTTCCCAGGGGAGTGTCATCTAGTTTGGATATCGATTGACAAACAGGACCTCTTATTAACCGTTCCGCCGCAATATCTGATCGAAAAGCATCCGCTGACAGATCCGTCGGCGTAAGCCCATAGATAAATCTACGCGAGTCCTATCCCGTTGATTGATAGAGCTCGGAGTTATCAGAGTGATTTGCGTTGATGATGATAGGAAATTCCATAATTTTCCTGATACCGACGTACCCATACTACCTTTATTATGTTACTCAATCCATTGTACATCTAATGTGTTTAGTTTAATTAATGTATACGTTAATTTAAATGCGCATAGATCGAATGAATCTGATATTAATAAAAGCAAGAAAATCTTAGTATATATTAACAGAAACTGTTGATAAAAACATATTATGTTTTCATTTATTTAGTGAAGAAGCAACGAAATAATAAAAAACAGAGTTTTGCATATAAAATGTTACTTTCTTCTAAAGATTTATATAGATATGTTCGATTCAAATTTCAAAATAACGCAATTATATGAATAACATAACAAAAATAATATACTGATTATATACAATTATTACAATCATTTTTAAAACTATTAATTCTGCAACATTTTTATTTTGTGTTTATATAAATCAATAAGTTTGAAATTATTTTAATATTGAAATATTAAATACACGTTTAGTAATATTCTATGAAATACCATAGAATAAAATTTTAAATAATTATCGTTAATAATGAGAAAAAAGATTTTTTTAAGAAAATATTAATTACTCTTTCAATCTTTGTGTGTTCTCGTATATAATTGGTAACAAAATCGTAAATCAATCTACTGTGTAATTACAAACTAAACCATGGAACAATAGTCTAAGTTCAACTATTACAAAGATGCACCTGCTTTGCTCCATATACACTTTGTATCTATAACGCAAGTTAACTAAGCTAGCAAATAATCAATATCAGAGTATGTATCATACTAAGATAAAACCTGTTTCATCATTCGATAATTATTTTTAAAGCTTTAATTATCTATTATTTATCTCACTACTAAAGTAATTAATTTATTATATATCAATAAATTTTATTATTGATAAAAAAATCTATATTGAGTTAATTGAAAGTATGATATTAAAAATAATAAAAAAACAAGTACCTATTATTGATAACAATTATATTATAATACCTATTATTGATAGCACGTATCCGTTATTTTATTAAGTTTTCAGTATTTAATTTATTATTAATTAGTCAGTATATTACTTCTATAGAAAGTTTAAAAATATAGAATGCAGTATATAAATTATCTATACATTTCTTTTATTTGCAAATTTATATACCAAAGATTCTAAATTTTTATGGTTTCCACATACTTGTCTTTATACAACATATAGAAATATAAAATCTACTTTCATGAGCTAACAAACATTCAATCATTCACAAGATGGAGAACACAATCTCTATTAATTCCGCTTTCCTTTAAGGATGTACTTATACGTTGCAATCTCTTCGGTGAATACCTTTAAGCAATAATATTAATTGTGAAGTTGAAAACGAAAGTAGATAAAAGATTAAATAATTTGTGTAAGTAAAAATGTTTCGTAAATTAAAAAAATAGTTTATAAATATTCAGATATTTTCTCACCCGCTCAACACTACTTTGTATCCTCTATACCCGGATGTTTGCATAGCTTTGTCAAGTAATTCATATAATTTCGTCACCGATTCGTCGGCCAACAAGTGTACCAAATATATAGTACTACCAGTTAATGATCTAACTTTCAATCGCAACTCGTTAGGTTTTCCAGTCGCTTCATTAATCTGACGTAATATTGGAGGCTGAAATAGTAAAACATGAATTTTCAAGTAGATCATGATTGGACATATCTTTTACATGGCATAATTTATCTTGTCTTTTTTCGTTGATATCTGAATATGTTTCTCACCAAACTCTTTCTTGCACAAGTAGCCGATCTTGAACCTCGAGGATGTTTCGTCGCGAAACACTCAGAGACAAGATTGGCAATCTTGAGCTCATCGATATTATTGACTTCCGCTGTGCTTAATGCTTTCGACCGTAATGTCGATTGCGTAGCTATACCCAATCGCCCTGCGGACGAACTGGCAGATTTCGAACGTAACCGACTATCAACGATTTGTGATCTACTGGAAAATTTAATTTCAGTACTTCATTTCGGTATATAAATGAATATAGATTATTTCATCTGGAAAAACCTTGATGATCTATCAGAAAAACTACGGTGTCTTGTCCTGCTGCTACTTGTAGATCTCAAGGTATCTTTCGACCTGGATAATTGTTCACTCATCGACATATCATATTCCACGTTTTTTGTAGCCAACTCTCTCTTTTCCAAGACACACAGTAGTAAAATATATAATTTATTTATATTATAATATTATATTCGGAAAATTTAATGGATAATAAGATTTACTTTTTCTCGTCGACTATTTCGTGCTAATTCAGCGTTAACGTGAGACTGAATGTGAGAACTAGAACAAACATTATTATGCGAAGCCAAAATCTGCGATCTCAAAGAATATATATCGACAGAAGGCGATTCTGAAGAGGTTCTGGGATCCAAACTAATAGGAATATGAAGATGCATTATAAAATTTTTAGCAATTTATCATAATTATAGTTAGCTACTAATTTCTTCATAATTATGAGATTAATTATAAGATAAATTTGCTTGATTTCAGTATTGTGGGATATACATATATATATATATATACTTTTCGAAACAAAAAAGTTAGCACTGGTTTAGATTTACTATAATTTAATATACATTCTTTGATAAAAAAAAGTTATGCATAGGTCTAGACCTGTGTGTAACCTTTCTATCAAAGAGTGCATATTATGCAATATACAATATTGTAAGTCAACTTAAATATTTGAGCGTTTCAAACAAGTAATGAGATAATACCGGCTTGGAAGTGATAAAAGCGGAATGTACTCGGAAGTGCTATCTTTCGGCGAAGGGTTTGCACGAGCATATCTTTGATAAATGCTATTTGATCTGCGTAAATTTGTCGATAACAAATTATCCATTGGAGATTGTTTTCCCAAACGATATCCTTGACCAGGAAAACTAGCAGAATCATCTATATGCAATTCTGTTCTATGATCTTCTATCTATAAGCGTAAGTCAAAATATTAATTGTGAAAAAGAATAGAGACTCTCTTTAACCAAATTTTTTGTTAATAAAAAACATTGTCTCACAATGATTTTAGAAAAAAGTTTTTTAAAAAATGCGGAAAATATCTCGTGTATATCCTAAAATTATATTCTACTATTCTACATTTACCATAAAGGGCACTCCGTCAGGATATTCTTGTTGCAATTCAGATGGAAAATATCCGTCTAGAATATCACGAATAAACGAAACTGCAGTCGGATCATAGTAAGATCGCAATGGTCCTCCATTGACGCACATACCATTTTTATAAAATTTCAATGCCATGCAGGAAGGAGTCTTTAGTTAAAATGCATTAAAAAATGCTGATTGACGATATAAATGATTACTAATTAGCAAATATATTAATTTCAATTAATCAGTAATAAATATCTTTGATATGTGTGACGTATATAAAAAAAAGTTTACGTAATTTCATGGATGTTAACATAGTTTTGCAAGTAATATATTCTACATTATATTTACATTCTTCTCTATGAAAGTACGTATTATGAAACTAGAGCATTACTTTGAATGTCGCTCCTCCTCCTTTCTCATTATGATGAATGTGAACTTCACCCTTTCCCGCAGCTAGGTTCAACTGATCGATATTCGTAACTAACTGTTCATAGCACGTGTTGATATAATTACTATAACGAAATTATTACTAATTATTAGAATTGCTACTTTTATTTCTAGCTAGTAATAAAATATTTATTTGAATTACTTGCTACTATCTACGTTTGTCGTATTTTTGACGTCACCCACCCATATTAATCCATAATCAGCCAAGAACTTCTGCAAAACGACATAATCGCTAATTTTCCTACTTAAGTGTTAAATATGTCAAACATATTTGAAATATAAATTTAAACCTCCATTTCGCTGATCTTATGTTCTAGCGTTAGACATCGTTGATAAAAATATTTTGAGTTCTTAGCCTGACTTCGTTGCTCCTTCTTTCGCAGCAGTTCCTGACTTTTATACTTAGTTTCCCACTCTTTAATCTACCAAAATAATGTGATATATCATAAAAAAATTTTTCAGTAGTTCTAAAGTACAGAAAAATATAAATAGAATACACGAAGAAATGGATTCGATGTTATAAAATAACTAAATTTAATAAACATACAACGGTTAAAAATACACAGATTAAAAATTAACTCTGCTAACCAAGTTAACTATGAATATAATGATAATATTATATTCTATAACGATAAGACTACATTCTTAGATTAAAAAAAGCGTACAGAGAACCTTCCGCTTTAAGCGTCCAATTTCCTGATCCTTAGTTCGCAAGCCTTCCTCGGCTTTCGTCAAAACGGATTGCATTTTTCGCATTTGTGACTCAGCTAAATGCAGTTGTTTAGTCAACATGCCAATGAGCTCACTTTCTGAAAATCGTTACATTACGTAATAACGAATATATAATGCCAAAAACTACAACTGCTCTAAATGCTTAATGTAATTGGTTTGTTTTAACAGTATTTCTTATATTATTACAAAAGATTATATAAAATACAATTTTCAAGTACAAAACCTTCTTCGATTACGTCATTTATGGCAAAGGAATTTCTGGTCATTTTGGACGAATTGTTCCATAATTTTCTCGCAGAAAGATTCGCATTGGAAACCTGATACCCAAACGTAATATATAATTTGACATAACATATTTTAGCATTTTATGTCTATGATATAAATGTCACACAGCTACCGTTTTATTAACGTAAGTAGATTTTCCATAATCAAGCATAATTTTGCTGTCTTCTGATAGATTTGTTTTCGGATCCGCCGTTGTAGGGTTTGATATACATGTTGACGAAGGTAATGGTTTTAATCTAGCAAAATATTATATTATTATTTCTTGAATGACATATTGCTAAAAAAAATGCATATTTTTCGTCGTTATAACCATAACATCGTAAGATAACCTACTTGCAATTGTTGTCGTGTGACAGGATCAAAGAATTTTTTGAAAACCTCTTTCTCGACTGAACTGAAGAGTTTCCTTGATTCATGATAGCATTAATTAACGAATTCGACAACATTTACATTTGAATTTTCTTACGTCGCCAAAAAGTAGTTATTCGCCCGAAGTTGTGTTTACATTATGCGACGTAAGAAAAGTCGATTCAAATAGAATTCAATATAAAAAGTGGCAACGATTTCTACACAGTACCACAGCATAAATATTTTACAATTATATTTTTCGTTTTAATTTTTCTTTTCGTTTAATTTAACTTTTCGTTTTAATTTTAATATCGGTCTATTTTTACTTTTGAATTAGATCAGAGAAATTAGGTAGTTTACTTACTTTCACTTATATTATTTCATGTTTGATTTCTTTTTCTATATCAATTTTTGTCTCTTTTTGAATCAACTAAACAGTGTTATTGATTTTTAACGACAAACTTTACGCGCTGTTTTGCGATTACAATTTATTACGAATGGATTTTAAGTCTTTAAGTTAAAATATATATAAAAGGATTAATATTCTAATTGCATCTTAAAATATATAGTCAAAATAAAGATAAAACCTTCCAATATATATTGCAAACTGTAATTCAAATACGCAAAGTAAATATTAGATTTTCGAAATTATTTTTTCAATTAGTAGAGTATCTCATAAAATATTGTTTATACATTTTAACAAATAAGTATCTAAATATCAGAAACACGAATTCCTAAAGACTTATTCATTAATAAACAACTAACTTAATAATGGCACATAAGGGTGTGATACTGCAGTCTCGTAAATAAGTCATCGGGATCATATCTAACTTGTTCATCATACGTTATATTATGCGGTAATTGCTTTCGCAGAATTTTAAAATTTCTAATATTCTTGAAACTTCTTTGAAACGATTCTTTAACAAATAGGGCCTAGTTTTGTATTCCTATATTCCTTTATAACATGAAATTCTTTATCCCACTGTGTTGCAATTTTGTATGTAAAAATAAAAACAGAGTGTCTAAACTTCTTCCCGAAATCGTCCAACACAACCATGATAAGAGAATCCTATGTAACAAATCCCTTTCTTATTAAATATTGACTTTCAGCCAGTTCTTATCCTTTCCTATAATTTTAGATTTCTCCTTCACACAAAAAATTAAACCAATCATCTTTTTTATATTAGAATGTGTCGTGCTATTGCTTATAATTATCTTAACAAGGATCCGCCTTTCTTAAGTGAAGATTCATCTCTTGATTGAACTACTTGTGAGTCTCAATTCTCTTCTATAATTTGTAGCGAATGAAACGCACTATACACTTATTATTAGATTCAATACTGGACATGTATTTGAAATACTTTTATTTAAAACACAGTATTTGCAATATAACTGTATTTTATATTTTCTATTTCGACCGCATTCGAGCACATGAAAGTATTGCGTTATTGCGTATTTTAAAATCGAAAAATTAAGAGTTTTTGTATTTTGTAATGCAATAATAAGATTGATTTTATCAATCTTAGTATTTGAAATAGAAAATACTTTCAATCTTTCAATATTAATACTGAAATGTAAAATACATGATATTTTTATATGTCTCGTGAAATACAATATACAAAATATAATTGTCATAAATACTGTTTTTCAAATAACAATATTTCAAATACATGCCCAACCCTGGTTAGATTATACTTTGACTAACTAAATAAGCATAGTATTGCATTTGATTACGCTAATTTTTTTGCCTGTATATCATGCCGAGTGAAGTTACTCGAGAGGGATAGTTTTTCATCTTCTCGGTACTTTAAAGAGTTACGTTGCACCTCACACAATAACAAAGGCTACGTTTACACCGTACGTTTAGGCCGCGGCCTATACAATAGATGTCCTTGTTTATCCTGTGTGTTAAACAAAGACACCTATCGTATAGGTGGCGGACTAAGCGCACGGTGTAAACGTAGCTATACTGCACCGCGTCGGCGCAATAAACCTCCATCGATCGTTTGGGCAGCTGGGGCACCGCTCGTTCTCGAGTCACGTGATCACGACAGTAGTTATCGTCATCAAAGAAGCCGACGCAAGCCGACGTAACGGTTGCGTCGGCACTGTCGGCAGCAGTCGTGCATTTGGTGCGGCGTTCCACCGGTGCTCGCGCTTCGGTTTGGTTCGCCTCTCCTTATCTTGCTTCCCACACCTGCCTCAATCTTTTTTGACTTATCGTGAAGCAACGCGCTTCTCTAGGCAACGTGGGTAAACACGCGCTGATATTGTCGCGTGTGCCGCCGCGTGGATGAAAATGCCGCGCAAGAGAGCATCCACGCTACACGAGACATCCGCTGGGCCCAGAAACGTCACTAAAGTGAGTCCACGTCGACTGTCCTTCGATTTACGCAATCCTTGTGACTCACTGCTTTTTAAAGCAGTTACAATGGACCACGTGCTTTTTAGCACGTTTGCAGAAGTTAGCGTGTTTAACCTCAAATCGCGCGGCCAGTGTGTCCATCATTCACACCAATATATTATACTTTGTCAGACGTTAGTTCTCAGACCCATGTTAACCTAATTTCATAGAATTGCGCGATTTGCGCAGTCATACCGTTCGAATAACCTTCAATTGTGATATGACTAATTGTAAGAGTGTTACATCATGTGACATGGATGAAAACAATACGTAACATTCATGACAGGTGTTTCAAGACTTTTCTTATTTTAAAAAAATATTGAAATTTTAGTATATTGTCCAAAATCACTGAATGACTGAAAAAATAATTTTCCTTTCGACAATGCACGGAAATAAATTTCTATTAAGTTAAAGTTTTCTGTCTCTATGTCTACTGTATGTAAAAACTTATAAGTGTAACCAATCAGTTTACTTTGGACAGGAATAAGTTGAAAGTGATTTAATGGTGTGTAACTTTAATGCATAAAAAAAATTGAAATTTCAAGAACGATTATCATAAATAACATGATTTAGAAGAGTTCCTTTTATCATCTTACGTTAAAATATTCATCAGCTAAGAAGCCAACTGCAGTTCTTTTTAATCATCATTAGAGATTGGGTTACGATAGTTGTAATTATGTACAACAAATCAAGAGTCGTTATAAGTCATTACAAGACCAAAGTTGTTATAAGTCATCTACCAAATGAATGGTAATCTTATTAAGACATATGAATTTGTGAAGAAAATTTTCCAAAAATTTGGGAACTAACTTAGCACAATATAAATAGCAGTCTACGTTTCTTATTAAAGATTGTAGTTCCAATATTATTAAACATATGAAACAGACATCATGCATCATCGTAATTTACACCAAACAAGTAGTAACAGTAATAATGAACTTGTTAATGCTCAACTTTAAGAAGTTATATATGTATATTACTAGGCATATCAGAAACCATCCATGTCTCTTAACCAGAGTCAATTAAAATTGAATCCAGACCTCTTAAGGTTTCCTACAGTAATTGATATGTTTCCTTAATTATGTTGCACAACCAGAAAATTGTAAAGCTGCAAAAAGTCGTTTTGGCTTGATATTTGTTGTACATAATTACAATTATCGTAACATGTTAAACTATATTATTTTATTTTTCTGCTGCTATTCAAACAATTCTAGCTTTCAAAATATAAACATATATTCTTAATTAAATAATATATTTATTATTTTGAATTTTCTTTGGCACTGTATTATCATTTTTCCTGTTGACATTTTGCTTTATACACAACAAACATAATACAAAATATTATCCAAACATAGCTTATTATCAACAACAGCTTATTATTTAAACATAATAATTTGTGTTATTACGTTTACTTGATAAATAGTAAACTAATAGTAAACTAAAAAGAAAAATAAAGTAAAATAATAGTAAACTACATTTTACCAATACATAAAATATGACACCTTTTTACAAACGGAAGCAAAATTCTATCATACATATTTATGAATGTGTTACGTACATAATTGTTATGACGCACATCATTTTTATATTTGCTCGGAGTGCAATTCGATTGGTCGAATTGTATGACCTGCCTTGCTTGTGAACCTAATAAGGTCAACTAAGAGATAATTAAGCCCAATATGCGGGCGATAAAATTTCTTCGTTATGATAATAATGATCGAACAAAACGTTACTTCACAATTGTGAAGTCTTCAACTCGATCGATTTGAACTATAAATTTACACATATTTTATTAACTCATATATCATCGAAAAAATAATTCATACTTCTAAAGATCCTTGAAACTTGTAAGGTCAAATATAAACAGATATTACACGTTATCATTTCTCGTCATGATACAACACAAACTATCGATCAAAGAACGGTCTCTATATTTCACTGCAGAATATACTTAAGAATGTTACAAGAACGTGAAATAATTTGTAAGTATGCGTGTGATGTGCTTTGTATTAACAGTTGTACAGAAAAAATAATGAAATACTTATGACGCGCACGAAAAGGCTAATGATAAAAAAGAAAATATTTTTCCTTGAACTAAATATCATTGCCACACTTAAAAAAATGCATATAATTTTACACGAAAATTACATATCTATGACCGAAAAATTACCTAAATATGATTGGAAATTTACAATTTTCAGTAAATTTCCAACCATATTTATGTAATTTAAGTAATTTTCCAGTCATAAATGTATAATTTCCATGTAAAATTAGATGCATTTTTTTTCAGTGTAATATATTCGCCAATACAGGAAAATGCACGAGTTGTTAAATCTATTATTAATGGTACACTTAATTAAATCTATTACTGATGATATAACCTATTCTTGGATGCTTACATCCATTTAACGTATATTATAACATGATCATTTCAAAGGTTCATTCTTTTAAGGAAGCACCAGTTATTTCTCAGTTAATTATTGTATATCTTAGAGATTCCATTACAGTGGATAAGTTATACGATAACTTTTTAATTTAAATCAACAATTACATCAGCGTTACCTCTTTATCATATTTGCTTTAAAAATAATCAAGTGGAACTAATATTTCCATAACAAAATAATTAATATCTTTTTATTATAAATCTAAATATCTTCTTCATTATTTCTTCATTATTTTTTTAGTCAATTATGTAAATATTTCTTATTTCCATTTTTTCCAGTCTATGTATAACTCATTGCTCATATCTTTTCTTATGTAATGAATGTATTTAATAAACCTGTTCTTTATTGATAAAATCTCTAAACTAGTGCACATGATGCATTATTTATATTTGTTTCACTTCAACTTACTATGTTGGTATACACCAGTTCGTCGATAAAGAACAGATGAATCATTCATTTAAAACTTCGAGTATAGCATGTGACCGTCAATAATAATCGACTGCTAAAAAATGTCACGTGTTTTATCCCTAGTATAATATAATATTTCATACGTGTTCCTCTCGTACTATAAGAACACGATCGAGAACCGGCGCAATGGTGGGGTCAATGAAGATATTCAACGTCTTGGTTCGATCGCCTCTCAGTGTCGACACTTCGTTCCGCCTGCAATCATGTCAATCGTATTGCGATTTCTTCCGTTCACCACACGCTTCGAGTCGCGCCTGTTGCATTTCGTAAAGTTGTAATCGCGTTCCTCTACGTACCTCGGAACTTTATCTTCGACGTAAGTGACATTTCGAACAGAGGCCAACGTGATGTTTTTTTTTACATTTTTCACAAATTTATCCATTTGTTGACTTATGATTTATTATACTTCGTTAGTTCTTATCAGTTGTGATACATCGACGTATCGAGGTCGTTTCTCACTCAACATGACTCGGAAAACGACAAAATATGCTAATATGATGCAAATCTCCTCATTCGCTATTGCTAGCAAATTCTCTCTCTCATCGAACTATATGAATTTGTACTAACTTTTCAACTTCATCGACATGATTCTTCGATATTGAAGATAATGACGCGTATGATTACTTGGAAAAAAAACCGATCGCACATTGTTATACTAGCGTAATTCTTTCCACACGAGAGATAAAAGATGTAATAATAATTTATCTTCATGAACATTTTTAATATAATATCATTTTAATGATATAAATTCTTCATCGTTAATATTAATACAACATAATATCCTTAATAATAACATTGTTTTATTCATATAAATTCTTCATTCAGAAATTAAAGTGTATTAATCAATTTTTTAATTTTATACATTATTGTCTCATCACTTATATCTCGAGATCGTTCCATTTCTTATAAAATGAAGATAGTGTTAACGTTACGATTTATGTAACTCTCTTATAAGATAAAAATTCTATTAAACTGAGCGGATGTAGACAGTTTTTATACAAAAATATTTCATTCACTGCGTAAGAATACTATGTAATCTTTAATTATATATATTTTCGACACTTATGCACATTCATTCAGCACTTTATGCACATTCATCATTATATGTGACATAAAAAGTCACGTTGTTCGTACTTTATCTCAACGCTCTTATACTCAACATCTTTGCATCCTTTTCAAATGTATATCTGTCTCATTTTAGGTTCAAAAATTTTAGGGGATTTTTTTTAAGCAACGCGAACAGACCTAATGTTATTATTCAGTGAATTATCCGATATTTTAAAACACTGTGAATGCAAATAAAATAGAAAACATCATAGCTGCAACTTAAATCTAAAATCTTAAATCTAGTCTAAAATTTTTCTGTTAATAAAATTATATATTCTATTAAAGAATAAATATTCTATGAAATAGGTTTCATCTGCATACAATGCTCAAAATTATTCTTTTGACTATGAATTCTTGCATAATTACCTGCCAAAATTTTTGTTGAGAAATTTATGCTTTTTTTTATATCATTTCATTCCTTTTTATAATTTTTTGAATTAAAAAAGTAAATTTTTATTATTTGGATTTATACAGAAAATTCACTTTCTCCGATATATAATTGTTCCATCAGAGAAACACGTCACTGTTCCTTATATCGATACCATCTCAGAAAGTTTTCTGCTCATTCTCAAAAAATACATAAAAATTGGTAATACATAAAAATTGGCTCTTAGAATCTATGGCAAGTATATAATCAGTTCTTATGTTAAGACCGTCTTAAGTAATGTCTTAAGATGCTAATACGACTCTCTGATGACATTTTAAGACTATATACTTAGACAGTTTTAAATATAAAAATCGACTATGAATATAATACCAGTCTATATCTCATAATCAACTCAATATAGTGTACAAAATTTGGTGTCATAATTACGATATTACATATGTTGGACAGACAAAACATCAACTTAAAACTAAAGTCCATAAGCACATCATTAACGTCAAAAAGAAAAGCGGTTCTCCTGTTGTAACTAACCGCAGTCTTGCAACTAATCACGATTTCAAGTGTAATGACTTGCAGATTTCAAACAACGAATCAAGCTATAATAAAAGATTAATCTCTGAAATGGTGCGTATAAGGAAACACGAGTTTAGCAAATCACAAGGAATTACTGTTTAAGTCACCCCTCCCTATCCTAAACTTTTTGTCTCCTATCTAATTTTTCCCAACATCCTCCCTACATTCTCCCTCCTACATATTAACCCCTCCTTTTTTCATATTCTATTCCTTGTCTTTGTATGTTTTTCGACCTCATTTCCATTATCAGTCTCACCGGTCAAACTTCGTACTTCTGTGTCGACCTTAGTATTTTCCATAGGTATGTTTTTCAATATCCTATTTTCTTTCTACGTTTCTGACATGTTCGTGCACACAATAAGAAACATTTAGTATTTATGTTACCGGTCTACTTAAGTTTTGTTAAAACTTTGAGTTAAATTTTTTTCTCAATATTATATAATTTTATATTTTTTGCAATAAAATTATTTATAAATTTTAATATATTATCCAGTATTAATAAGATCTTTATAAGATGTCTAGGAATATCAAATTAGTAAATTGCTAAGCAATTTAATTTGTGGTATTACTACTGTAGTTCAATCGGTTTGCGTTTCAAAACCGAAAAATCAATTCGGCGCACAATTTAAATGACTACATAGATAGATAAATTCACATAGAATTATTTAAGCATTTAAGATCCAGCTTAACCGTTAAAGATTTTCTTTTCTTTCTTGTTATGTGTTCATATGTACGGTCCTAGAAACTCTTTGTTTGTGTGTATAAATATTGTGTGTGTGTGTGTTTATATAGTTTTATAATTTATATAATTATTATATCATTTATATTTTTTAGAAATTTATTTTATTTATTTATTTTTTAGAGATGAATATTTAACATTTCTTGGTATAGAAAAAGTACAATTTATGAATAAATAAACAAATAACATGAAAATAATACATTTTTAAATGTAAATTCTAGGATAAATAAATAAAATACGTGTCAATTTAACATATCAAAAGATGTTAATTTTATTGAAAAAATATTCTTCCACAGTTTGCTTACAAATTATGCCAATTTTACGTTTTTGTGTTAATTCTTTTGCATAATATTTGTGTTACTTTCTAATTAAATATTCATCTTGTGTTAAAATAAAATGGAAAATTTGAATGGGCTATTCGGAACACGCGTTAAACTTAGCATAAATTTTCCATAAATTGCCCTTGTTCTTTCCTTGTTTTCTGATAAATTTTCCAGGTGCAATTAATGTTTTTTTCCAGGAAAAATAATTTTATTCTTTTTTTAATTAAGTCGTCCTTCGTCAATTCTGCATGTTATGTATAAATGACCGTTTCAACAATTTTTATTCTTGCGGAAGTATATATATAGAAGTTCCACATATAACTTTAATTATTCTTGTGCTTTATCTAAATAACGAGGATGTATAATTACAGATTATTAAAAATATATAGATATAGGTATAGAAATTTATTAAATACATTACATTGTGCGCAAAATTTAAAAATATATTGAATGACGATATTTTAAACGATGTTTTTATGTCTAATTTAAGCTTATCGAAAATATAATAGCACTTTTTTAGCCGTTTTAATAAGTATGAAATTTTTTTGTGAAAATGTAATTTTGTCATATGATATTATATATATTTATAGCGAATTCGGTTGGATGTATTAGTTTACACAAATGCACTGTAAAAAATGAAGTGTTAATTTTAACTTAAAGACGTATAATGGACTTTCTGAGATGTGCAAAAATGTTAAACTTAAATTACAAAAATATTAATTTTAACATTTTTGCATTTTAACATTTTTGTCTCAGAAAGTCCACTATACGTCTTTAAGTTGATATTAACATTTTATTTTTTTACAGTGTGCATATTAAAACCGTTGTACACTGATCTAATCTGTGTAAAAGTAAAATGTAAATATTTCGAATTATAAAATATAGATTTTACTTAATAGCACAATAAAATGTATTGAGAATTTCACGGTTTCATCCGTTTTTACATTTATATTAAACATACATCTTTATTTGTAGGTATATGACGACTTTAATATGCAACGGTTTTAAGTGCAATCTTACGTCCAATCGAATTCGCTATTAGTTGGAATTGCGTTATACTGTAATTTAAATAATCGCAGTAAAGCCTATTCTACAATTGCGTAAGTGTAATTGTTAGTGATTGTAGTTGTAAGAATTGACCAATCACGGTTGAATATTCTTCTCGTATTTAGTTGTGATTGGTGAATTTTTACAACTACGACCACTTACAATTGCGCTTACGCAATTGTAGAATAAGCTTAACTCACAGTTAAATTAAATAAATGATACAAAATTATTCGTTTATGCGTATCTATTATTCTATAAAATACAAAGGCTTCATGTATGTAACAAATAGGCACGAAAAATTTTTAAATAATAGAAATTATACTATTGCTTATATTTTGTTAATACCGCAGCAAAACCACGATATTTGCAAGATATTTAATAATTAAAAGAGAAAAAACTATCGTGTAGAAAGCTCTGTAAAGTCAAAAGAGAGTAATTATTTTTTATAATTAATATTTTTTTCAAATTCTTAATGGAATAGCACGATATTTATAAATAAATTCTTGCAGAGGCATCTACAAAGAACTTCAAGAATGTCGATATGAGTTTCGTGTTGGAATTTCATTCTGTTCTCATAAATCATGACCTTGATGCAATAGTCCAAATACCGTGAAAACTCATATAAACCGATATGTCATATAAAATTTAAAAAACTCATTCTTTACAAAATGATAATTATTAAATTCTCTCTATTTTACAGAGTCCAAGGTGATCTTTATGTACAACGGATTTGTTTTTGTACTCTGTTCAAATATCGAAAGCTTTATGCAAGGAATGGAAGAATCTCAAAGGTGAAAAACCAGATTTTAAATATATTCTTATTTTTATTCGTATATTTCCTTCACACAATTGCATTATTGATAATTTTTGTACGTATTCGTTTTAAATAGTATGTTCTTTGTTTTTATTAACATTTTTTAAATAGACATGTACTCGATACCACTTTGTATTTTAAGGAACTTGTTAATTGTTACAAGCAAAGTCCGCAAGTGGGCAATGTCGACATTGCCCGGGCAATGCTGACATTATATGGTAGGCAACTCGGGCATAGAGATCCTTAAGTAAGAGACTTCGAGACTAACTCCATTATGTGTCATATGTGTGTGGAGGTCGCCATGTTCTTGCAAATACTCGAAGTTCGCGAATCTCTTACTTGAGGATCTCTACTCGGGCAATGTCAACATTGCCCATTTGCGGATTGCCCGTAAATATACGTACACGGCGAAATTCGTGTGCACGCTATTTGATCCTTCCTTTATATATAAGCTAAAGAAATTTAATAATTTTATCTTATAGATATGAGGAACCTGATATGTTCAAGGAACAGCCACCTTGCAGTTTACGAAAATTGGGAGGTAATATTCTTTGTAACATAATAGCATGACACAACAGATTTTTGTTTAAAAAAAAAAATAAAACAATTTGTATTATCATTACATTTTCTACTGTAAGTCGATATGATTTACACAATTCTTAGTAATCAGATTGTATTGATTTTCTGATGATTTGCAGATATGATTCCAGCACGTGTCGTGCTGTACATGCTTTCGTTTTCCGGATTCCTCGTGTCTTTCATGATGAGAACGGACATTAATATCGCCATGGTGGCTATGGCGAAATTGCCGTCAACATCAAACAATGAAACCGCCATGATAACGTCTCAGTGCTACACAATATCAAATACGTCATATTCAGAGAACACTACTGTAATCAGACCGGAGGTACGATTACATAATGCATAGCGCATTGTTCTTTTTTATCCATATATTATTCATTTCGCGAGATCCTCAAAATAACAATTTTTTTATTTTCCAAAAAGATTACAAAAATTTTACAAAAAAGAAATCTTCTAATCTACACAGAGAAAAATATTTTGTGTTCTTTTACACAATTCTTTTTTGTCAAATTGCATTAATCCCTTCAAATCCTGTATACATTATAATGGATATCAAATTTGAAAATATCTATTGAAATTATTTAATTCTATCAACCTCATCTAAGAGCATATGTACATAATAATGTATATATTAAAAATTAGTTAAAATTTTGAAAAAAATTAATTGTTTAGTATGAATTACTTATTAAAGTTCCATTGAATTGAATTTTAAAAACGTTTTATTAACATTTCATTAAAATTCCATTAAAATCAGGTCTGAAGGGGTTTGAATGCGCTCATATTACCCTAAATATTTGTTCAGTCGCAAGCAGGTTTATTTTAGTCGGAATACTTTTGTATAGTGAACTGACAAGATCAATATCGTGATAATCTTTTTGAATACGATGGGTGTGGTATAGATACTTTGTGTGTCATGATATAACATAAATATAATACAAATATATTTCACGTATTGACGTTAAGACCAAGAAAAATTTCTTTAAGGAATATTCAGCGTAAAAATTTTAACAAAAAACGAAGCAAAATTATGAAAAAAATTCAATTGCAAATCAAATAAGTGATTGTAAAAGCAAATTATATTATTATCATAACAAAAAATATCACATTCACTCACAATAATTTATAATCACTATACAATAAATAAATTATGATGTCATTGTGAGATTATTAAAAGGTCACAATGTGTGACATCAGATTATCTTAATCTGTATATGTCATAGCAGTATCACAATGGAGTGACAATCTTTTATCATAGTTTCATACTGATGTCATAGCAATATCAATTTATGATAAAGCGGACATTTGCGCGTCACCTTGATTTTGTTGTGTTATTACTGTAACTTTTTTTGCTATGGGAATAATTTCATCGCCTATTTTATAAGATAATTCAAGCAAGAGTATATATAATGAGTTACTAAAAATTTGTCATCATTAGTAATGAAAAAAACAATCAGCAAAACAAGAAAGATTTTATTGTAAATTAAAACTATATCGTTTATTTATTCTTTCTTAAAAACTATATATCTTTCCCTAGGAAAGATTGAAACTAGTACCTATTAAACACTTCCTTGGACCCTCAATAAATTTAACTCTTAATAAATTTTTCCTTAATAAGTTTAACCTTAATAAGTTTAACCTTCTCTCCCCGTTTTGCAATCCAATGAAAAGCTAATCCTCTTAATTCAAGCAATTTGTAGAATATTTGCGCCTATATTGCACTACAATATCATATCTTCATTCTTATGAACAGGACGCTGGCGAGTTCGAGTGGAGTCCAACTATTCAATCAGCCATTCTCAGTTCCTTTTATTGGTGTTATATACTTTCGCAAATGCTCGGCGGTGTTCTCACTCAGTACTTCGGTACTAAAACCATATTCGGCGGATCTCAAGCCGTCACTGCCGTCTGCAGTCTGCTTATGCCGACTGCCGCGGAGATCCATTATGGGGCCATGATAGCGTTACGTAGTATACAGGGCATTGCAAGTGTAAGTTATTAATCGAATAAAAGGACCCCACACTAATTATATGGAAAATTGAGTCCCAGTAAAATGAATTAGTTTCCACATATGATGAACTTATAATGTAGTGACCAAAAGATCACAAAACTGAATAACGGAGTTTTTATGATGTATCAAAAGAGTAAAACTGGTGCTCACGGAGCATCTTTGACACGTCATAATTCAAGAATTATCTATTCTTTGATGTGTATGTAACATTTTTATTTACTACATTATAAGCTACAATATGGTGAAACTCATTGCACCTAATTTTCCATATATTATTTCCGTATATAATTAATCCTTTACATGATAAACTTTACTGTCATATATCTAGACAAGATAAATATTTGAAGAATATCATAAAGTCTAAAAGATATTTCAAATCTTTTGGATAGAACAATCTTTTAAATATAATTGAAATTTATTTATTTTGATTGGGATAGAAAAGAAAGATTTTCGTGACTTATGTTGATTTTTTTGTTGAAAACAGGGACTCACGTGGCCCGCGATGTACGCCGTAATCGGGCATTGGATTCCACCTGTGGAACGTTCACGCTTCATGTCTTCCTTTCAAGGTAAGTTATAAATTATCGGCTAACAGAGATTTTCGTGTGTTACAGTGAAACTTCGATACGTTCGATCCAAAATTAGGCGAAAACTATGCGCGTAGCCTCGTATTACAGTCGCAAGTATATAATGCTGTAAAATGAAACTCGCATATTTCTTTCGATTGTGTTCACGTGAATACTAATGCACGCTTCTTTCAGAATGGAATACGGAAGTTCGAATGAGAAACTACATATTATTGTTTCAGTCAAAATTCCGGATCAAGAAAATAATCTCTTGCTAAAATGAAAATAATTCTCTATAAACGTTGCGCATCGATCTGCGCCCGAATTGATCACTTGTTAATGATCCCGAAATAGTTCATCTCCACGAGGTTGCATTCGCCGGACCGAGGGGTATACTCAACAGCGACCGCTCAACAGCATGAGAATGGCCGAGTATACTTCCAGCTGGTAGAATCAGCCGGACTCGTCGAACATGTATATTGTCTCTATATACTTGTCTTTCTTATATATACAAATTCCATCTTTTGACTACATCCATTTGTCTGCAGTATGCGCGCGCGCAATTAATAAATCTAATCATCTTTCTCACTCAAACTTTTCCAGAGACGGACCACAAGTTTCATTTTGTACATTTGTTTTATTCACACTGTGGCACGTTGATTTTTTTCTGCTCTCTAAACCATTACACCTAAGCTATCTATCAGACTTTATTTCTATCAGCAAACAAAATATCGAATATTATTTATATCCTTAAATCCATTTTGCACAGTCTATAATCCGCGTCTAATTTAAGAGTAGAATGGATAGTTTGATTTTATATGTCGTGTATTTTTTAATACATATTTTATTGTATTCTAATTCCGTAAATGTTTTTTTCCGTATTTATATGGCATATAAAATTATAAAAAACGTTATCTTAAATTCTGACATGAATTATAAATCGTTTAAAGTGGTCATTAAACAAACGTTATTTAGCCATTTTGAATATGATATTTTATGATATTAAAAATATTAATTATGAACATACGTAAATTCTTACATGAGCATTTTATAATAACATAACAACAAAAGGAATGCCATTGTAGAAATAAAGATCTGCACTTTCTTCTTGACTTATACGCGTATACATAACTTCATTTTTTCAATACGATATATTTTTTGTGATTCCTTGCGTAAGAAAAGTGACACTTATTTTGCAGGTAGAACGAGTTTAAACTTTTATTATTTGCAGACATAGAAGTTTCATTGTCCCACTATTAACAGCTTCATCATGCCCTATCACCGTCCCTGCGTACTAAGTCTTTACTTGAATCGCTTTACAGGGTGAGATACGATACACCTCAACTGAAGAGCGATCATCACTACACATGAGTCGTAACAAATCAGGACGAAGACCATTCGACAAGCATCATGTTTCAGCTTCCTTCCGGATCGTAGGGTGAGCTATTCCTAATATCTAGGTTGTCTATATTCAGGGTTCAGCATCGGCATTGGATTGACCTATCCGTTGTGCGCGTTCATCATCGCCCATTTCGGATGGAGGATTGTGTTCTACACGACTGGCACCATCGGTCTCGTCTGGTGCATCTTTTGGTATCTTTGCGCCTTCGACACACCTGCCTTGCATCCCCGAATATCTAAGCCGGAACTTCGTTACATTCAGGAATGCGTTAGAACTCAAGTTATCGGAGCGGACGAGGTAAAGTGATTTATGGTAACTGACTATTAACTCTCAAACATCTCTCTACGGGAACAACACTAATGTATAGCATACCCAACTCAATTCAACTGCTTATAATTTTCATAAAAATAAATATATTAAAAAAATTCTTTTTAATCGAAACGTTAGACATTAAGAAACATACAGTTCCAAGCAAATGTATCTTTATTAATAAAAAAAATATTATAAGTAATGGAAAAAACATTGAAAAAAAGCCTAAGTATGCCATACCGAAAACGCATTTAAAAAATATCTTCTTAGTACGAACGTAACTACATATACTATTTTCTCTTAAAGGATCTGCCCGTTCCTTGGAAGTCTATACTCACGTCTTTGCCAGCATGGGCTATCGGTATTACAACCTTCGGAAGAATATGGGTACATTATGTCTTTATCATTCCCGGCCCGATGTATATGAAGACGGTGTTAGGATTCAGTATACAAGCGGTACGTGTATCATTCGAAAATATTCTTTTTTAAATTTTTTCAATATATAATGGCTAATACATATATAATAATAAACGTTATTAACTCGTTTAGAATGGTATCCTGTCAGGTGCACCATTTATCTGTAGTTACATAAGCTCCGTTATATTCTGTTACGTTGCGGATCTCCTAGTCACGCAGCAAATCATGACTTTAATAACTGTACGCAAGATATTTACCGCACTATGTGAGTTCATTTGTGACTTTCTTTAATCAATACTTGGAAGATAAATTGCAGCAATCGATTTTTTTTGCTTATAGCTCAAGTGGTTCCCGGAATACTTGTGGTCTTAATTGGATACTTGGGCTGCGATATTATCGTAGTTTTAATCGTGTGGTTTATAGCTGTTACTCTCATAACAGCCGGCTACGCGGGTGCAATGGCCAACATCGTCGACATCGCACCTAATTTTGCTGGTCAGTGCGCGTATTTTCAGGACGAATATATTTATTTGTATGGAAATATGAATTTATAAATCAATATTTATTATTTTCAGGACCAGTGTTAGCGTTCGCGCAGACGATTCACATGACCGCCAGTTTCCTATCTCCTATAGCAGCTGGTCTGCTCACACAGGAAAGCGTAAGCGTTATATTTTCTTCTTTTATTTTTCTCTATCCCTATCTCTTTCTGGAAAGCCAAAATAACGTTAAGTTTTCTACAGCAATCTCTCGATTCGTGGAGAAGAGTATTTGCCGTTACTGCAGGTGTATCTTGCAGTACATATATTGCCTACCAAATATTTGGTACAGCGGAGATACAAGCATGGAACTACCCCGATCAAAAATACCCTCAATCTATTCGAGAAGAATGCCTGTTAAATGATTCGTCAAAGAAAAAGAGCAAGATTGTTCCAAGCCGAAAGAATCCGTCAGAATAAGCGTGATGTATCTTTATTTCGGTTTCTTACTTTTCTGCTGTTGCCATTCCTTATATTAAAACTTAAGTCTTTTAACACGCAAAATACAGTTGAATATATGTACGAAAAATACCTATTTTCAATACCGTTCTATCACTGTAAATAGATCTGATTGTTGATATGAAAGAAATTATATAGTTGTCAGGGTATTATAATGAAGAGATATTTTTATGAAATGATTACCTCAGGTACATGACAAAATGTTTCAGTCAGATTTGACACAGATCAATATAACACAGATTGTATGCAGTATACTGATATTAATATATTGATACAAGATAAGATGATACAATTTCGAACATCGTACAATTCTAAACGAAATAAGATTTGAATCCAATTTTCGAAGTTCAAGTTTGATTTTTTCTTATTTGGTAACCTTCAGTACCGAGTTTAATATACCCCACACAAAGAGAGAATTACCAATCTTGAAAATCAGATTTTATTTCGTTTAGAATTGAACAATGTTGGAAATTGTACCATCTTAGTCTATAGATTGTGCACAAATGTTCAAAGAAATAATTGATAATAAATAGAGCGCATTTGTAAGATATCACATGTATTCCGCAATCCTAATCGGGTAATTCGAGATGCGGAATGTTTTCTCAACAACGCTAATAATATCTCCAGACACTTAGATGTGGACCACGCGCAATTTTTTTTGCGTATTATTGCTCAAGCTTAAATAAAATCTTTTTATTTTATTATTAGCAATCTCAAGAAAGCAACATATTTTAATTACCCGAATAGGATGAATTCAATGTGAAATCTCACAAACTTTTTTTAGTGACAAATAACGTATATAATGATATTCCTCGATTTTGCTTGTTTAAATTGCATTCTTTATTCTGAAGTTATTGTATAATAATTTATTTGAAAGATGACTTAAAAATGATTCATGAGAATGGATCTCGTAAGAGTACTAAACAGTTACTTATTTTTCTTTAGTTGTGTGCGTATGCTCCAGAACAATGATAATTTTATGTACATATACATAAAACTCTTTAATAGTTTAAACATATATACAAGCACATATACATATATATATATATATATGCTTGTATATAATTAAAACATGCGAGAATAATAAGTACTTATCAAGTTTAAAAAGAGATACTTAAAATATACACTTACTAAGCTTTTATTATAACATAGTTCTAGAATAGAATACAATTTTAATTATCATCCATTAGAAAAAATTAAGTAAAATTATGAATTAGGAGTATTTTTATTGGCACCTATACTTTTTACTATCAGTGCCTTGTGGTACGCGTATAGATAGATTTTAGTTGGTAATAAAATTCCAATAGAATTCTTTTGGGCTGCGTTCGAAAACCTCTGAGTATCATCTTATCCTTGTTATTCATCGAAAATTTTAAACAAGAATAAAATTATACTCGGAAGCATATAGTGTTTTTGAACGCATTCTTGATACATCTAATAATATATTAGATTTTACAAATTAGTGTAGATTTTTACATAACACCTGACAAAATGTTCACGATTGTAAATTATACTAACTTGCCATTATATCGTGCGGAATGCAAAAGAATATTTATTGCATAACGTCATGAAAATCATATGAAGCGAATAAATTTTTAAGAGCCTAATTTCATATAATATTAAAATAAATATTAATAAATATATCCATTTTATGAACGATGTAAAAAAATTATGTTACCGATTATTGTTTATTTCTCTAAAAATTTTTATATTTATAAATGCATTATATGCAACGATTTCGTTAGTCATCGTGTGTGCACATGTTCTAGAAAATAGTGAGAGTGCTGCAAATTTAATACTTAAATGGCTTTCATCAAAATCAACTTGATTTGTTTTTCTAATTTCATCTTGTTATTCGCAAATAAGATATTTTACATGTCGGTAACTTAAATATATTAAAATACGTAAATATTTTTGTAAATACGTAATTTTTATTCATATAATTGCGTCTGTGTAATATTGGCACACGTATACGTTTACGATATCTTTATCGTGCATAATATACTTGTAGAAAATGAATATTACACGTAGAAGAAAATGCTTTTATTTTTATTGTCTGAGATATATCATAAATAATTAAAGAAATTAGAAATAATTTAAAAAATATATTTTTTACTTTAAATTACATATGTTTCGTTTAATAAAGTTTATCAAAGTTTATCAAATACATCTACTATATTTCAAAGAAACTATAGTACATTAAATAAATAAAAGAATAACATGATAGAGAACAACCAGAGAATAACTTGATAGAGAATAACTAGAGGAGAGAAAAAATTTATTCTATTTTCTTTAACATGGTCAGTTCATTTTTTATTTCATATCCCATATATAAATGCAATCTCTGACGTAAAATATATTTTTAAAAACATGTTTATGAAAGCATTTTCAGCTGATATGTAACGAAATAACGGCAACAATATAACACATTAGTTTTTCTTTCCTATTCATTTATCATCATAACTAACGTGTGAAATTCATGAAATTTTAGCATTTTTTTATAAAGTCAAGGACCAGGAGCGCCGAGAAATATAATAGATTAGCAATAGTATATTGTACACATTTTATATAAGGTATAGTAATAGTATAATACTGTATTATGCGATAAAAAATGTTAAATTTCCCATGAGAGTTTAAGAGCCGCGACACAGATCTTTGCATAAAGCATAACGCATAAGAGAATCAACCAATCTGAATCCTTCCTTTCCTTCCACTTCGCGGTAAAGAAGAACTTTGATTGGTTGATGCTCTTCTGCGTTATGCGTTATGCAAAAGTCTGTGTTGCGGCCTTAACAAATATTAAACAATGCAAATATGCGATTTAATTCAAAATATATATATGAGTATATATAGTTTTATTAATTGTTGCATTTTTATTGTGCTTTGAACCATAGTTATCCCATTCCTGGTTAAATTGCAAATCGATTATATTACGCGTTATACATATTCAATTTTCTAAATTTAGATAGAGATAATGTCCATTGAATATGATTGATGATACTCGATATTCCACATAGCTTAAATTATCGATAACACAAATATTGTTTTGTTAGGAAACAATTATAGATTTAAACAGTGATGAATGAAGAGAATAAATTTCTGCTAATCACGAATGGCAAATGCAACAGATTTCTTATTCGGAAGTGAGTTACATAATTATGTTTGTCCTTAATGTAAAATAATGTAAAATAATTTTTCTGTGCGATGACTAAATACATTTAGTCAATCTCATATCATTTTAAATAATACAAAATCGAGTTATCAATAAATGTGGATGAATATATTACAGAAAAGAGATTAAGACGAAATATAGTACATTATACGAATAAATGCAATTAGTAATAATTAACTTGTTTCTTATCTAGAATTAATAGATAATGGTAATTTTATTAAATTATTTGGAATATATTATTTTAAAAAATTTTCAATTCTATTTACTTTTATGCCAAATATTTATTAAAAATGTTTGTGATATACTCTTTCTTGTGTGTGCATCAGTTTATATAATATTTAATTCTGGAAGAGAAACAATATAAATTGCGATCAAACGCAAATCTCATATTCTACTAAAATTTTTGAGATGAAAAAAGAAAATAAAGTAAGACACATCTAAATCTAACAATTTTTTTCTTTCATTTCCTTTCGATATTTACCATCCATGAAATATATTTAGATACCACGAAAAGCTTACAATAAAAGCATTATATTGTAAAAATATGTTATAATTGTATTTTACTTTTTTTCTCTTCATGCATCTCGAGAAAATCTTGAAATGTTTAGTAAAAAAACATAAAAGATGATAATATCAGAGAGATTTATTAAATTTAAAAACAATTTCTTGCAAAAATTACTCTAGCATTAATCATTTTTTGCCAAGTTTGATTTACCTATAAAATATTTTTTATCTTTCTTCTTATTTATATTCGCAATTTATTCTATGAATCTCTAACCGTCTAATATATCTTCTACCTGTCATAGAAGATACAAGTTTATGAGAGTAAATGATATTTCGAGCTCTATTTTAAAATCTCATTGTTGTGCATTTTCCTATATACCATAAATCGACGTCACATATTCCAGAATTAAATATATCAATCCTAATCTCTTTTAGGCCATCCATTTTGAAGCAACGGATCCGCAAGAAATGCTATATATTTATTTGTGATACATTTTCTCTTTTGATCCATTCCTTCACATTAAAATAAAAAATAACTCACAGGTGTGATGCGCAGCGGCGGAGTTGTTAACTGCGTTGCAATACCACGTCGATCTGTAACATACAAATTTGTCCAAATTATCACAACGCCCAAAATAATTGATATCGGAAATATTATGCGAATACTACTGCAATATTGCGTTAATGCAAATAATTACAATTGAAAGCAAAATAATAAGGCCTATTGTTACTTTTAGCTGAAATAAAAATAATGAATTATTAGACCTGCTCTTTTTCTTGCACGATTCGTCTTTCCTTTTTTTCTTTTCACGTTGGAGAGGAAAAGAGAAAACATGAACTATCCAAGAAGTTCAGTTAAAAAGAACAGCAACACAAATTACTCACCTCATAGTTGCTCCGCCGTTGCTCGATGCCTCCCCGGGCCTCGTCCTCCTCTCGAATTCTTCTCTTTCTTCAGATCCGTAATATTCACAAGACACTCACTCGCGAATTATAGTTAATTACGTACGATGGCACATATTAATTAGCAAAACACGATAATCGTACGGTACGACACTTCTAAACTGATGATGACACGCGACGCGCACATCGCTGTGTCACGACGGAAAAGTGACGCGATAAAATATGGAATCGTATGAAGCTATTATCAGTTCGCGACGTCTCTCGTAAATTAGTGGAATGGAATTAACGGAGGAGTATCGAGCGGTGTAGAATTCTAGCTTCCGAGTTACCCGCGGCACTCCGAATTCACGTAATGGAGAGTTATCAAAGTGGCAGATCAACTGCGGCTAATTAAACTGCACGGCGCCTCATTTTAGGCTCCTATTCCGTAACTCTTCGTTTTAGGCCCCTGTAATATTCCGTGACTCCTAATGACAGAATCGTTACGTTGTTGCGCAACTTCTTTTTTACTTACGTAACGATAATTGAACGATATCGTTACCTGCTTTTAAGTATTACAGGATAGAAGCCTTAATGACAATGGATGCCATTTCCATTTATCGTTATCTTTGTTACTCATGCAAAGAAAGATAGACATTTCTGTCGACTTGTGTCACTAAATGGAAGGTATATAATCCGATATCGTGCAATTGTCGTTGCGCAGATTTTGTACAGAGTAAAAAAAGCTGCGTAACAATACAACGATAGAGTCGTTAAAAAGTTACAGAAGGAACCTTAGGGCTGCCGCAGACAAAATTTCTGCAACAGTAACCTTAAGACGTGAACTTAAGCCGATGATCCAGTCAGGATACTGCTTTAGATCTACATAATCTGACGGAAATAGAGATAACAGTAAAATTATTCATAAAGCGAATTTCAGCCGGTTGAAATTCGTCTTATTGCGCCTTATGGATAAGTTTGCTGTTATTTCCATTTCCGTTAGATCACACAGATCCAAAGCAATATCCTGGTTGCCTAAAATTTACGTCTTACAGTCACTGTTACGGAATTTTGTGTGCGATAGCCCTTGATTCGGAGCCGATCCGTTCCGCACTTGCGGCGTTTCGCAAATGGCCGACGAATTCAAAAGGGAAGGCAGCTAACTTCACGCAACACTACGCGAGTCAATTTAACGGTCGGTTACAGAATTGGCCAAACGATCGAAATTCGCAGTTCTATTAGCACAACGCGAAATACTGCGTATCGCAAAGGCACGATTATTGTCTACAGATAATCGTCGCGAAACAGCGATTCAACGTACGTTCCTGTAATTTATCCCCTTTGATTGCCGCCCATGATCGAACGGCGAAAAATACCTCACCTCAATACGCATATCGATCGTTCGCCGTGGGGATCTAATTGTCCTCGTAATTGTCTTGAGAATAAGAACATTATTCATAGCCTATGGCTGCGTTCAGCAACTTTGCAACTGTTGTAAAATTTTTCAATATGATTGGTTTGTACGATCTGTAAGGAACCAAAAGCAAAAGCCAATCGTATTGAAGAATTTTACAACAGTTGCAAAACTGCTTTCTCTGCTGAACGCAACCAATGATCGCGAGTGATGTTTGGAGGAGAGAGAGAGAGAGATTAATAAGTTAATAATACACGTACGGAGCGATACGCGTCGTTACCTACCCGCTCGAGCTGCGCCGCGCAAATGATAGCGTCGCCTCCGTCGCCGGCCGCGGCAGCTCGCTGTGACGTCACGTAGTGTGACGTAGTAGGTATACGCCGCGCGCCGTACGCCGCAAAAAAAGACAATCATCAAGGTCGCGCGCCAACGGATTTATTTTTCGCCGTTCTCAAATATATTTTTCTACGAAATAAACTCTCCGAATATTCTATTCCTTCTCTGTTCTTCTCTTCCCATAAACAGCTGCGCAACTGATCCATTTTAAACTCGGAAAGTATTCGCCTTCTTAAGTTTTATCTTTTTTATGAATTAGCGTAATCTATTTAAAGCGAATTAGAAAAGAATTCAACAATATGTATATTTATATGGATGTATATTTGCATAAATGTTACTTGTAATAAGAGTAATGGTTAATTTGTATAAAAAGCAAAATATGATTTATTCTTATACAATAAAATATATATAAAATTAAGAAATAGAAAAGGATCGAATGGAAAAAAGTAGATACATTTTGAATATGAAAATATCTAACAAATATGTGGCGACATAAAAGCGAAATCTTTCGTTCAATACTTTTAGAATAGAAATATGACGATTCAGAAATTCATTTTGTAAATCGTGAATCATGAAAATAGAATTTTTTCTGACTTTTTATACTATCCGCTTTTACAGAAATAATATACTGGCCAATACAAAAAAACAGTAATTAATTACTTATTTTTAATATTAAAAGCACTGTTGTTCGTGAAGATTTTAGTACTCCAAATAAGTAATCAATCACTGTCTTTAGGTAATAAATGGTACCTAATTTCCATAAATGAACCATACTCCCAGGTTGCCTATTTCGAATTTTGTAAAATTCATTTTGTTGTTTAATTAAAAGTGTTCAAAAATGTAATGACTATATTACATAAATTTTTATGTATATCCAATACAATAGTTGAGGATATTTTGTTAAATTTGACACGGTTCTTCTTAGAAATAAGACGTATATTTCAGTTTACACAAAACAAAGGCACAAGATCAACTGCATTGCTTAAAAACTAATTTGAGAATACCGAGAATTTCAGTTCGAATCTGTAAACTTAAACCGTCATTATAAGACGTCATCTGCTTGACAAATATATGAATGAATAACAAAACAGCACATGATTTCGAGATATTAGCGGTATAAAAAGTGAAAACAAGTGTAATAAACGCATGTATAATTGGATCAGTGATTAATATTTGAGATTTTACTTTGAAATACAGTAGGTGCAAAAAGTACTCGTTAAGGCAATTTTTTATTTAGAAAAGCCTTATTTGTAGAAAATAAATATTAAATAACAATTTTATATAACGAGTATATTTTATTCTAATATAAACAAAAGAAGTTTGCGTGTTCATGAGCTTAAAAGCTAAATTTCTTGATTGTATAAATACTTGTTGCGTTCAAATAATACAATTTTTTATTTTCGCTTATTTTCGAGATAATACATTTTCGTTATTACATATCTTATTAGATACAATGATTTTGAGAAATGTACAATATATTTTACTTTTTGTCAATGAATTACTAATTAACGTTTACTTTTCAAAACTAAGGTTTCTTTTAAAATATTTTTTTTATAAATACTTGTATATATTCCTTCTTTTTATTATACATTTACTTTAACTCTATGCATATATTTAATTTATTTATACTATTAATTTCGATAAAGCAAAATGTAATTTTTAGTAGGAACAGGAAAGAAACAAAGAGATCTTGTAATTATTTTACTAGAAATTTTGTAATAAATTTGATATTGGGAAAATTTAAAAAGCAACGTACGTTGCTTTTTAGAAGAGTAGTGTTATAACTGTCACTCATTATTTATTTGAAATAGTAATTCCGACAAAAAAAATAAGTTAACAGTTTACGACGCTATATAATTTTAAGACAGATATTTAAAAGGAAAGGCATACAATTTTTAGTAAGAAAAGAAAGAGATCATAGGATTATTATATTACTAGATTTGTATAGCATTAGAAATTTAGCATTAAAAGTGTTTATAAAAGGCATCAAGTTATATGGCTTTTGTTAAAAGAGCATTATAACTATCATACACTCAAATTTGTCAATATTAGTCCATTCACAGACGTCATAAGGTATTTTTTTAATTACTATTTTATCGAGGCCTCTCGTAAATGAACACTCTCGTAAAAGTTGTTTATTATCTTTACTATTGTGTGCATTGAGTACTTATTAACGTCAGAAGCTGTGTACTGTCAGCCGATTTTGCTGTTGATATTAGATTAGATATCCGCAGGGTAAGATATCCATCGCGATTCAAATATATGAATTATATATAATTATTATATGTATAATTCTAACTACGAAAGTTAGCCGATATGTTACATCGTTACATGAAAATACATATATCTGATGGAAGCATAAGAGAAAATAGTGCTTATCATCTCAGTATCGCATTTTAAAGCACCTCAGGTCATGTCTGCGATTATATGCGAATTCAATCAAAGTGTTATATTCGTCTTTGAATCTCGTATTTTACACATGCTGCGCGTTAACGTTAAAATATTTTCCGTCCTTCCCTGAAGATTTTACACAGATAGCACTTGTGATATCAAATTCGCAAAATCACTGACGTATCACATTCGTTGCATTTATCAAGATATCTTTGACAACGTACGAGATATAAGGGGCAAGTAATACCTGAGCAGAGATAGTGTTACGTTAGACCGTGATACGTACGGGAAGAAAATCAAAGTGCGATCAAATATAATTGATACAAATAATTACCACAATGAGGTAAGGAGAAAGTTTTCTAAAACGTTCAAGAGTGGAATAGACATTCAACTTGCTCTTTGTGCGACGATCTTTTGTATGATTTTTCAAACGATACATAACTTTTAAAACGTTTTCAAATTTTACGAAGAAGTATAAATTAATCGTTGTATATTAGAGCTGCTAATTAAATTTAATTCAGAACAAAATGTTTAATTTTTGCACGTTTACGAAAAATAAATTAGAATAGACAGAATTAATTTTTAATCTCGTATGTCTCAAAATCTCTGATAAAAATATGAAATAAGAACACTAAATTTATCTGTACAGATTGTGGATATTATTGACTGCATTCTTGTTAGTTGCAATACTCTTTGCGGAAACTTCTGCAAAAAAATCGAGTAAGGATGTGGAATCAAGTAACGGTGGTGAAAAAGAGAGAAAGGTCGATGTAGAATATCGTACAAAGTAAGTAACTAATGAACAGAATAGAAACATTTATTCAAATTCTCGCCATAAATTCAACGTTTTTATTTTATTTTCTTAGTGTAGCAAATTTAATTATCCCTTCCGGATAAGATTTATAAATGCATAAATTTAGATTTAAACAAATACCTGAATAAATAAATCGTTATCTTTAAATTAGCCACATATTTCAATTGATTAATGTATGTCATTTATTTATTTTAAATTTGCATTTTTAATATAAATGTTGATTTCTATATAGTTTCTATATAATTAAATTTCTATGTAATTAAAATATTTTTCAGGGATAAGCAATCAAAGAAAAAAGACAAATATGTGAAAGAACAGAAGAAAAGGAAAAATAGCTCAGAACGGAACATCGAAGACCCTTCCGAAAAACATTTAGATGCGAAAAATTCTTATAAGTCAGAACAGAAATCGAGAAACAAGCGGACCAAACGTGAAGAAAATGGTAACGTGATAAATGAAGAAAGAAATAGAAATATCGAAAAGAAATTAAAATACTTGAAAGATAAGCCTAAAACAGAAACGCAAAATAAGAAAGACAAGAATGCTAAAAGACAATCGAAAGAATCCGAAACATTACTTGAAGATCCTCAAAAATCTGAAACTCGCCAAAAATCAAGAAAAAGCTTGAAAGAGGAGAAAAATAGGAAGAATTCGAAAAATAATGAGGAAATAGAAAATGTAGAGGAAAATTTAAATAATGATGTTCCAAGAAGGAAAACAAAGCATTCCAAATCAGATAATTCTGAACAAGTTAATGATGCTGTTTACCAAAACGAGAAGAAGACAAAACACGATAAGAGAAAGAGAAAGGAAGAGGTATCCAAGAATACAGAATCTAGGGGAAAAAAGGAAGAATTAGTCGAAGCTGATGTAACATCTACAGATTCCGAGCAAGAAGAAATTCTGGACAAGACAAAGACGGATAAACAGGAAACATCGATGAGAAGCAAGAAAAATAAAAAGAAGCGTGAAGTAGTGCAAGAAGAAGAGAAAGCTGATATAACATCTGCGGATTCCGGGCAAGAAGAGACTGTCGATAAAATAAAAAAGGATAAAGCTCAGGAAACATCAAAGGAGTGCAAGAAAAATAAAAAAAAGCGTGAAATAGTGCAAGAAAAAGAAGAAACTGAGGAAGAGCCATTGAAAGAAAATCTTATTATAGAGGAAGACAATGTAAATGAAATTGAAACAAATGAGAACGAATATAAAGATTCCTCAATTCCAACTAACGACGACATAGATACCAAGTACCTGGATACGCCTTCTGACTCAGAGAACTAAGTTGATAGAGCGAAAAAATATAATCTTCTATCCTTCTATTAGAATGAGATCACTGAGTAAACATCTATAACGCAATGATGAAGCATATAGATAATCAATTGATAAAAAGCACTACAAAAATGTGCAACGTTTCAAATTGAATTAAATTTTTTTTAATTGTACTAAAATTTCGTTAAAAAGATTATTCCAAAACGTGAATCAATTTCAACAAAATTTTTTCTCTAGCGAAATCATAATACCGTTGAATACTTACAAATGAAAGGAAAGATTGCCATTTTTCCTTCAATAAATATCACATTATCTTATCATTTTTGCAAAATTTATTGATTTATAACCTATAGATTAAAATGACGTTGCATGATACATTTGAAACTGTTGAACATGTCTCGTATCATCGTTTCAAACTCATTCGTCGTATATTTGGTACAACGAAGGATAAAAGATACATACAACCTGTCATTTACTGTCTCTTTTTACAAGGAAAGGCACATCCAGATATGCGATCTATGGATGACGAATATTGTACAGCATCAGAATAATAATTCATATATTAATGATAATAATATAATAATGTTCACATTTTAATAATGTTATTACGAAAGTTTTGAATAAATATTTATATATTAATGATAACATATCTTATTACGAAGATTTCGAACATAACGCTTTCTATAGCAAGCGAATTTATTTCATATGTCTATCGTAAATGACACATAAATTTTGTATTTAAAAACATTACTTTTTGCAGTCTTGATGTCTCCCTTATAAATTTTCTATTACGTCGATGGGATGCACTGAAAACGTAATTCGTAATTATTACCTTTTACCTCACATCTATGTGATTTGTAGTTTCCATAAAAGAATTTAAATATCTCATCGTGCAAAGGAGATCGTTTATTCTTACCAGTTGATTGTGCCATGAATACAATTACCCATCCCGATCCAATATTATTCACTGTCGAAGTATATTTAACGAGAACTCGATTGGTATTAGCCTCGAGTCTCGCTGGATCATCCTGTATAAAAAATATCTTTAATTATACTTGTATAATTAAAATATGTTTAATTATTATGTAACTAAATGCATTGTAAAAAAATATGTTTAATTATATATTTTATGAAAATGAGATTTTAAGAAACATTTGAAATATAATTTAAGGATGTATCTGATTGTGAGATACAATCGTTGACAAAAGTACCCCAAATTCGAAATATTTGCATAACTGCGCCAAACGTGTAGTAAATTTAGTGATAACTTATATAAATAGTAGATAATACAATATATTTATTTTTAAAAAGTTATTTTTCACTTTTTCAATATTTTATTAACTTTATTTGTCATTTTTCAACTTTCTGTAACAAAACATTATTTACCAGTGCAAAATGGAAAAAGTAATTGGAATATAATTAAAAAAGATAAATATGCATTATTTAAACAATATAAATATATTGTTATGGCAGAATATGGCAGATGAGCCGTATTGAGCCATACATACATATCGCAAAATTGTTATGAATAATAATTTCTCTGAAACCGTGTTGTGAAAATTAATCTAATTTTGCAAAAAGTTCCAGTAATTTAGGATCTATACGTATAAAAAAAAATTAAATTTTTGATACTATTTCTTCAATACTTTTATTACTAATTACATTCGACAAAGTTGCGTTTCCCGTAAGAAAACGTCTCTTATAACTCTTATAGAACTTTAATACTGGCCAATTAATCACTTATTTTCAGTATTAAAAATACTATTAATAATATTTTTAATTTAATTAATAACTTAAAATAAGTTATTAATTGACCAGCACCAGTATTAAATTTTTATAATCATCATAATTAAAATAATAATTACTCTCTAACGGTTTAGTGAACCTACACTTGAAATTTTTTTTAGTATTATATATTACAGATAACAAAGGAAGAGTTTCCCGAAATTTCATCAATTTGGTACTATTTTTGAAATAACTCAGATACATCCTTAAAGAAAAATTAAAAACGTAGTTACTATACAGAACAAATTCTCACAAAAATTCTCTAATCAGTTCTTTCAATTGTAGAATCTATCGATAGCGATATTTAAGAATGTATTATTTTACGAAATCACTTACTCCGCCGCAATACGTGCTATGTAAAAGTTCTCCACTGGGGACGACATCATAAACTTTGAGATTATTGTTGCTGCAGCTCTTCTTCGTGCCGATGTCGAAGACAAGGAATTGAAGAATGATATTAAAGCCTTGCGGTACGCTCACGTCCCAAGTGCACACGGTATTGTTGCGATACGTACGGGGATACAATGGCGAGGTGAATCTGCCACCGTAATTGAATATACGACCGCCGCAACCTTGACCTGCGCAATTTTGATTTTGAGATATTTTATATGAAAACGACACTGGGGCCGATCTGCGTGTACATTTCGTTAATAATATAACTCGCACGGTGTCTGAAGCAATGCCGCGAGATCGCAATCGGATTTCCGTGCGGTTCCCGCGAAAATAAACCGCAACATTTCACATAGCGCGTATCTCGAGGCGCCACAGTGTCGTAAATCATCTCCCGCGCGTTATAATTTCTCCGCATCTGGTAGCGTACATTAATCGGATGCAATGAGAGAGGACTTGTGCACGCTGCCGCGAACGCGTCCTACCTGCATCCGTGGTCGTGTAAATGATGTCATAACTTTGATAAGAGCTGGCGCTCTCGGTCCAGGAGTGTAAAGTGAGTTTGTTGCCAGTGCTGAAAATCGGGCTTGGCATCGCCGTGCTGCACAGCGTCGTTATAAGCGGTCCACTTGAGTCACCCTCGTGTACCTGTGAGACATATAAATTTATTTAGAAACTCGAACTTATAACGCGTATCAAAACGCGTTTTACGTCACTCGGGTTTTCAAAATAAATCGAATAATTTCTGTGTCCTCTCAAACGCGATTTCCTTAGCAAGCGCAAAGGAACGTACTTGCAGCGCGTTGCGCGTGCACTGGTCTGGGTCGTAAATGCTGAAATGATTGAAGTACAAAGAAATGGTACGATTTGCTGGAACGGTGACTGTGATCCAGCAGCTTGTAAATCCATTATGAAGGATTCGTCCCTGCTCGTTCGTGTAATTTCGATCGCAATTCGCTGTACTATATTCCAGCTTAAAGCCTTTGTGGTCGTTGGACATTGATCTAAATGTTATTTTGACTTTGTCGCTGTAACTGTAAGAGAGAACGTTTACAATTTAAAATTCTATTCTTAAAAATCATCGTAATCAACTAATAGAGTTAAGTACCTGTAATAATCGTGTGGTAATTCGCTGCCACAATATCTGTATGAGGCGAAAGGTAACCGGCTTCCCTAAAAGATAAAATAAAATAAAATATTTTATGTATGTAATATAATTGTGAATTACTAGCAAAATGAAACACAGTTCCTAATGTAGAAAACTTACCATTTCGACGGTAATTGGGTGGCTTCTTTCGCCACTATAAATAAAGTTTGTCCCGAATCCTTCATTTATATATTTCTGTTTGTTATAAAAAAAAAGATAATAATTTAATTTTTTTATTATTAGAAAAATTTATTTTTGACTATTAAGAGTAATTATATTTTTAAAACGTTATTATTTTTATCAGCCATTAGAATAATTATATTTTAATATAATATTAATAATAAATAGTATTTATACCAGTATTTACCTTTTTTTCAGTAATTTCTAAATACTCATCTTCACATTTGTCAGAATCCGCCAAATCAAAATCTATAAATCGGATTCGCATACTATCACTGTATTTATCGGAAAATTGCAAGGTCCAACGACATAGTGTTCCAGCTAAATGCGTATTTGGATAATCCGGCGAAGTAAGTACATGAATTGTTTCGTTTACTAATCGAGTACTTAAGCTGCACAATGCTGCAAGAAAATCACATAAGAAAAGTCATCAAAGAAAGTACATTGATAAAGTAAAATTTAAATAAAAAAAAATTCAAGAAAGTTTTATCTTTGTAACATTTATGTTTTAAATTTGTTAAAAGTATTTAACAAAAATTTTAATAAAAAAGAGACATAAATTTGTAGATATACAAATATAATTTATCGTAAAAAAAGATGCATTCGGATACATTTCGTTTTATACAATATGGTGATGTTAGGACAATTGATGAAGTGAGTATAAAATTCCTTACAATCAATACTATTCAATGTAGCTGTTGCACCAGCACCTTCAGTAACCCCGTCAGTATAAAATCTAATCCACAATTTGTTTAAAGTAGATATCATGGGAGATGGCACTGAATTACCGCAAAATTGACCAATAAGATCGGCATAAAGTCCACCACCATCTCGAACCTGAGAACAATAAAACGCATGTTATTCTTATAATATATATGTATGTTAATATAATCATCTCTGATAATTTTATTTAACTAATATTTTATATTTTCTGCATCTTCTTTTTTCTTGCAATATTATATATATATATATATATATATATTAAAATCAGATACTTGTATTGTACCTTACATATATGATGTTACAGGGAAAAAGTAAACAAACATTAAAGTACAATGCAATCTTATTATCAGTATTTCTAAAAGTACGTATCAGACGTAGACACAAATATTTACCTCGAGATAATCACCGCTGCATTTATCACGTTGAGTAATATTATTAATTGAGTTCTTGATATCTATGCTATTAATTGTAAACGATATACTTTTGGCTGGAGATGTCACTACAGTCCAATGGCATTCTTCGAATGGTTGATAAGTTGCCTCCTGTTGAGTTCTGAACGATTTAGATTGAATCGAAGTTAAATTGATTAACCCTCCGCAACCGCTAGCTGGACTTGTCGTGAATAGCACCTAAAGTAACTCATTATTATTATTATAGTTATAATTATATCTATAATTTTTAAATTAATTGAAAATATGTCAATAAAGTGGATTGCAAAAGAAACAGCAGATAATTATACGAAAAGGTTGCAGTTATTATTAAATCAAATAATTTCGGAATGACATTTAATATAACAGACT